GCCCCCGCCGCCGCCCCCCGACTACGGCCCCCACGCCGACTCGCCCGTGCTCATGGTGTACGGGCTGGACCAGGCCAAGATGAACTGCGACCGCGTCTTCAACGTCTTCTGCCTCTATGGGAATGTTGAGAAGGTGGGCGGGGGTCCTAAAGGGGCTTTGGGGGGTCCTAAAGGGGCTTTGGGGGGTCCTGAAGGGGTTTGGGGGGCTTTGAGGGGAGTTTTGGGGGTCCTCGGCGGGCCAAGGTGAGCTGTGACAGGGTGTTCAACGTCTTCTGCCTCTATGAGAACGTTGAGAAGGTGGGCAGGGGTCCTAAAGGGGTTTGGGGGGGTTTGAGGGGGGTTTTGGGGGTCCTCGGAGGGGCTGGACCAGGCCAAGGTGAGCTGTGACCGCGTCTTAACGTCTTCTGCCTCTACGGCAATGTCGAGAAGGTGGGCGGGGGTCCGGGATGGGGTTGGGGGATTCCTGCAGGAGGTCTGTCCAAGGTGCCCCCCGTCTGTGTCCTTCACCTGTCCCGGTGTCCCTCACCTGTCCCAGTCTCTGTCTCACCTGTCCGTGTCTCACCTGTCCCAGCTGAAGTTCATGAAGAGGAAGCTGGGTGTGGCCGCTGCCCCTCACCTGTCCCAGCTGTCCCGCTCACTTGTCACTGTCCTTCATGTGTCCCCATCTCACCTGTTCCTCACCTGTTCCTCACCTGTGCAGGTGAAGTTCATGAAGAGCAAGCCAGGCCACTGCCCCTCACCTGTCCCAGTGTCCTTGTCTCACCTGTCCCTCACCTGTCCCTGTCTCACCTGTCCCCATCCCACCTGTCTCACCTGTCCCTGTCTCACCTGTCTCCGTGTCCCTGTCCCTCACATGTCCCTGTGTCCCTCACCTGTCCCCATGTCACCTGTCCCACCTGTCCCACGTGCGCAGGTGAAGTTCATGAAGAGCAAGCCGGGCGCGGTCACTGTGTCTCACCTGTCGCAGTCCCTGTCTCACCTGTCTCACTTGTCCCTCACCTGTCTCACCTGTCCCTGTCCCACCTGCGCAGGTGAAGTTCATGAAGAGCAAGCCAGGCACGGCCGTTGTCTCTCACCTGTCCCAGTCCCTGTCTCACCTGTCTTCCCCATTTCCCCCCAGTGTCTCCAAGCAGCACGCCATCATGCTGGGCCAGTCCTGCGGGGTTTATAGAGATTTCTGGGGTGGATTTTTGGTTTTTTTGGGGTTTCTGACCCGTTTTCCCCCATTTTTTCCAATTTTTTCACTGTTTTTCCCCATTTTTCCCCCATTTTTTCCCCATTTCACCCCGTTTCTCTCCCCCCAGTGTCTCCAAGCAGCACGCCATCATGCTGGGCCAGTCCTGCGGGGTTTATAGAGATTTCTGGGGCGGATTTTTGGTTTTTTTGGGGTTTCTGACCCGTTTTCCCCCATTTTTTCCAATTTTTTCACTGTTTATCCCCATTTTTCCCCCATTTTTTCCCCATTTCACCCCGTTTTCCCCATTTCCCCCCAGTGTCTCCAAGCAGCACGCCATCATGCCGGGCCAGTCCTACGGGCTGGAGGACGGCTCGTGCAGCTACAAGGATTTCAGCGGCTCGCGCAACAATCGCTTCTCCACGCCCGAGCAGGCGGCCAAGAACCGCATCCAGCACCCCAGCAACGTGCTGCACTTCTTCAACGCGCCGCTCGACGTCACCGAGGACAACTTCTACGAGGTGGGCTGCCTTCGGCCTCGGCGCCGTCCTCAGCATCCTCACCATCCTCCCCTTCATCTTCATCCTCATCCTCAGCCTCCCCTTCATCACCTGTACCCCTGACCCCAACCCTCAACGTCACCGAGGACAACTTCTACGAGG